AACTCAAGAGGTTATCTATATTTTGTTCAGGGAACATTTCTAGAGTAGTATCTGCATGACCAACATTTACATTTTTCCTGTCCTGAAAGTTTTCTCCCCTTATTCAGAGCTCTAAAAAAAGCCCTTCTTAAAATTCACCAACCCTAGGGCATCCAGAGAACCAGCAATTCATTCCTTCTAGGTACTCAAGTTAATGACAGGTGGGGTGCAGTGTGTTGCTCTGAGTATTCTTTGATTTTGAAACAGAAAAGAATTTCAGACTGAATCCAAACTATAGTTTAAGAAAGAATGTATCCAGCCAGGCCCGGTAGCTCAGCCTGTAATCCCGCACCTTGGGAGGCTGAGGTGAGTGGATTGCCTGAGCCCGTGGGTTCGAGACCTGCCTGGGCAACTTGGTGAGACCTCATCTCTACAATTAATCGAAAAATTAGTTGGAGTCTCACTCTCTTGCCCAGGCTGGAGTGCAGTGGCATGCTCACAGCCACTGTAGCCTCAACCTGCTGGGCTCAGGTGACCCTTCCGCTCAATCTTCCAAGTAGCTGGAACTACAGGCAGTGCCCCCACGCCTAGCCAATTTTTTGATTTATTGATTTGTTGTAGAGATGAGGTCTCACCAAATTGCCCAGGCTGGTCTCGAACCCATGGTTCAGGCAATCCTCTCACCTTGGCCTCCCAAAGGGCTGGGATTTAAGGCATGAGCCACCATGCCCAGCCCCAGACACTGCTTCTAAGCACTGGAAAGATTCGGGGAGCAGAAGCATGTAGGTAAAAGAAAAGATTAACTTGTCAATGTCTTCTCTTATAGCATGACTGCAATAGATTTTTAGAGCATGGATTGGTGTTCAGCATCTATTTTCTTGCATCTCTTCATATTCCAGTGCAGTTCTGAAGGTACTCACAAATTAGCACAAAATTCCCAGCAGTTGTACATAGCACCTGAGGTGTATTTTGCAACATTAAACAATTTATTTATTCTTTACTCTTAAACCTGTTATGTGTAAGTTTGGGCTACATGTGTGAAATTTGATGCTAATTCTCTGCAATACACTATATATCTAGATAATGCTTTAGGATATTGCAAATATATACATAACTTATAGCAATTTAAATGATAAAATAAAAATAATCCATATTTATTGGGGTAAAGTTAATCTACTATCTGTGTCCCCATCACAATGTTGGAAAATGATATGTAAAAATCACAATTTATTTCCATCACTACTATTGCTTTAAGAAGTTTATTGACAAGACCAGTCACTATGACCTTAGCAGAGCAAAATTTCTCCAAACTGAAATTAATTTTTAAAAAACTATTTAATAACTACAATGATTTCAGAAAGATTACCTATTTTTTTTATTGTTTTTGTTTTATTTTAAAGTTGTGTGGTAAAAGTCAGGATTGGGTACATAAGTGGTTAAGGTAAAATTGCCTAATTTGACATTCATTACTTTCTTTATTAATTTTAATTTTTATATTTTTGAGTCAGAGTATCTCTATCACCCAGGCTGGAGTACAGTGGCATGCTCATGGCCACCGTAGCCTCAACCTGCTGGGTTCAGTTGATCCTTTCACCTCAACCTTCCAAGTAGCTGGAACTACAGGTGTGTGCCACCATGTCCAAATAACTTCTTGATTTATTGTAGAGATGAGGTCTTGCCGGCTGGTCTCGAACCCATGGGCTCAGGCAATACTCTCACCTCTGTCTCCCAAAGTGCTGGGATTACAGGGGTGAGCCACCACACCCGGCTGACATTTATTACTTTCAGAAGAACATAAGTCATGTGAATATCTAGACTGTAATAAACCAGTGATTTTGTAAAAATGAAAGTAAGAAAATAAATTTTATGAAAAATACACAATGTATAAGTTAGATATTATTTTTCAAATAATGGCAACCCAGCAGCAGATATTTGACACACACAATAAAAAATTCAATCATCTTCGAAATATGACCAAATTTTTGTCACATAAAAAACATAACTCTGTAGGGTGTGGTGACTCACGCCTATAATCCCAGCACTTTGGGAGGCCAAGGTGAGATGATTGTCTGAGCTCACAGATTCGAGACCAGCCCTGGCAACTTGGTGAGACCTCATCTCTACAATAAATCAAAAAATTAGTCGGGCATGGTGGTGTATGCCTGTAGTTCCAGCTAATTAGAAGGCTGAGGCAGAAGGACCGTCTGAACCGAGCGGGTTGAGGCTGCGTTGGCCATGAGCCTGCTGCTGCACTCCAGCCTGGGCGACGGCGTGAGACTCCAACTCAAAAACAAAAAACAAAAAAACATCACTCCGCATTTTTTTTTATTTTGCCATTATGGAAATATATCTGTCAAGATACAAGGATGGAACATATTTAACTCATGTTAGCTTGATTTATAACTTTCAAATATTCATACATATGGTATGAGGGTCGCATTTTACTATCCCTCTGAGCTTTGCAAACATTGGAGGCAGGTCTGCCATTCCTATCAACAAGAGAGAAATGGCACCTGCCTGCATGGAGCTTATAATCTAAAGAAGAAAGACATTTAACAAGTAATTTAAAATAGGATATATGAATAGCAAGACAATTTGTGAGCTATTTTGTTTTCTTGGTTTCTTTCCCTTCCTTTTTCCTCCAGCAATCAAGTAGCAAGGTTTGTTTCCTTTCCTTCGAGTGGATTTCAGGATGAACAACAGAGTCACCTGCAACACAATTCCTTTCCTGCCCTGGCTTACCATGCTAAGGGCTTGCTCATTCCTTCATTCAAGAAACACTGAGTGACTACAGGGAATGTTCTAGGTCTTGGAGATAGAGCAATGAGCAAAACAGAAATATATATAGCCTTTATGGGAATTACATTCTGGTAAGAAGAGAAATCACAACTACCACCATCCTCCCAAAATATTATAACAAGATATATAACATATCTGATAGTAATATGGGTTTTTTTTTTGAGACTAACAAAGCAGGGAAATTGAGAAAAGGAATTGCAAAAGGTGAAGTGGAGATAGCCAATGAAGGCCTCTCTAATAAGGTAACACTTGAGCAGAGGCCTGAAGGAAGTAAGAGGCTTGCCATGAAGATGGCAGGGGAAAAGCAATTCAGGTAAAGAGATGAACAAGAACAAAAGCCAAAAGTGGGAATGTTTGCAATGTCTGAGGAACAGCAAGGAGTCCAGTGCCCTTGGAACTGTGAGGACCCATGGAAATGGGATAGTAAATAAGGTCTAAAGGGCCAGATCACGTAGGGCCTTGGAGAGATCACTCTAAACTCTAGATGCTATACAGAGCACTACGAAAATCTATTGGAATGCTTTAGACATAGCAGTGACATTATTTTATTTATCTTAAGAGGATTATTCAGCTGCTCTGTGAACATTGGCTGTAAGGGGTACAGGCAGAAGAAGAGAGACTAGTTAAGAGGCTAATGCAATAATCACTGTGACAGAACATGGTGACTTGCACCAGAGTAACAACACTGAGGGTGGTAAAGAACAATTCTTTTCTGGATGAATTTTGTTGGCTCAACCTTTAGAGCCAATAAGATTTGTCACTGGCTTAAATGTGAATTTTAAGAGAAACAGAGGAGTCATGGTTGACTTTAAGATTTGTATGGGTCTCCATGACTCCAAGAAGACACAAGAGATTTCCTGGTTTAAAACAACATGGGAAAAAGAAGAGGTGTAGATATTTCACAGAATAATCCACTTTCATTATCTTGACTAGAATTACGTTTGGATTCAGGAGCTCTCTTAACAGAGCTATGGATCACAAAATAATCATCAAACTCTGGGGCCGGCAGAGCTCTCCAAAGGTCCACTAATTTCGGCTTCTGCCTCCTGGGAATGTTGCCTCTGTTCATCACAGGTCAATACTATTTGGAATCTTTGGTGGCAGAATTTCTTGTTCCACAAAAACACATGTTCCACTTGCTTCACATCTCTATTATTGAGAACTTTTCCAGATATAATTTAATTATTAGCTACCAACCTTTTTCATAGACTCAGTAGGATGACCAGTTAGTCATTAACCATCTCCAACCAAATTATCCAAACATTCCTCAGAGATCTTTTTAATCTTCGTTTACTTACTTTGGAAGCTGGGAGTATTTATCTTTGGTATTTCTTTGTTTATCCACATTTACATCTGTATTTCAAATGTAGAGCCATCCTGCTCCCTTCTCACTCTCCAGTGCTGTCTTCGTTGGTCTCAAACTATCTCCACCTCCAAGTGTATTTTGTAAATAAGTCATTAATTCAGAATAAAAATTAGGCCAGTCTTGGTGGCTCAGCCTATAATCCCGCGCTTTGGAAGGCCGAGGTGAGTGGATTGCCTGAGCCCGCGGGTTCGAGACCTGCCTGGGCAACTTGGCCAGACCTCATCCCTACAATAAATCAAAATGATCCGGGCGTGGTAGCGCGCGCCTGTCGTTCCAGCTACTTAGAAGGCTGAGGCGGAAGGATCGCCAGAGCCCAGCAGGTCGAGGCTGCGGTGGCCGGGAGCGGCCACTGCCCTCCAGTCTGGGCGACAGAGTGAGACTCCAACTCAAAAAAAAAAAAAAAATTAAAATGTGATTATGTCTTTTCAACTTCCAAAAACACCGGACAGTAGTATAAATTTACTGAGCATTTACATTGGGCCAGATGTCATTTAATCCTCACTCCAACAGCCTTGCGAGGCAGCAACTCTTATTATCTCACGGCTCTAGAATTCAACCTCAGACTGCCAGACCCCAGAGGCCAAGCACTTTAATCCCTACGTTCTGCTACTTCCCTATAAGAAAAAATTAACACAATCTTGTATCTCAGCTGACCTGCAGTGACAGGGATATTTTATTTTGCCAACACTTGAGCTAGTCATTTTAAGTCAAAGCAGAGTACTTCAAGAGAAGAAGCCCGTCGACGGCCCGCTCCCACACCGTCCCGCACACTATCTTGATTTCTGGCCAGAGTGACAAGGCTCAAGCCAGCCCTCGGGCCACACCGCTTCCCGCTGAATACTTAGGAACGTCTGCCCAAATCCGCCCACACGAGGCTTCTGCCTAAGGGGAATTTACATATCCATTGCTTATTGGCTGCTGGCAAGCACTCGCTCTTCTCATTGGCTGACGACGTCGGACGGAGTTCTGCGTAGGATGCTCGCCGGGTGTCGGGACCCAGTAGGGTCACGGTCACCTATATTTCCGCTTCCGGTTTACCTCCGGAGTCATGGCGACCGCGCGGGGGCCTAGGTACCTATTGACATCAGGCAGATGGTGCCACGGCCTTCAAGGAGTTCCCCAGACCCGGGTGAGTGCCTACTCTCCCTACTCTCTGCTCTCGGAGAGAGTCTGGATCTCCACGCCAAGGGGGAGCGCTTTCTCCTAGCGAGAGCCCGCAACCTTCCTTCCTGCCCGGTACATCAGCTTTTATTTCACGTCCTGCAGGCGCTCGCCGCCCTCGTGCCTGGCGTGACCCAGGTAGATAACAAGTCCCATTTTCTGGAGAAGAGACCCCATCGCCAACACCCTGGCATCCTGCAACTGCCACACGTACGGCTACCGGAGGCATTGGCTAACGCTGCGCGATTGCTGTTGCATGGTGCGTATGGTTGGGTATGATGGGTCAAAGAAGAAATGGCACTGGGCCTGCTTGCAAGTGATTCCGCTATTCATCTTTGGCCCATAGAGAGCGCAATGCCCAATGTGGAGAAACAGGTGCAAGCACTGACCAATTATCTCTGGAGTCGACATTTGCCTGTAGAGCCAGAGGAGTTGCAAAAACGGGCAATGCAACTTGAGAAAAAATTCCTGGAAGACCCAGGTAGGAGTTAAGAATAATTGAAGAGTAACCCAGATTGAAATATCAGTGGGAAGTGAAGAGCAAGATATAACTTTACAGTCTTTCAAATAGAGACTGCGGTTTCTTATTTGATGTTCTGAGGAGAGCAGTTGTTACAGTGATGCCTCAATAAGAGAAGGTAGATTATTCCAGAGACTGCCTTTGAGGTTTAGGTAAAGATCAGAAAGTGCTCCAGTATACTGTTGACATCTAGATCTTTGTTTTTATTTTTATTTTACCTGCAAGTCCACTGGATGAGGACCTTCTAAGTTTTTATTCAGGTGAAGTAAAGTTCCTGTATTGTTCTCAGGTATAGGAAAATTTATGATTGTGAGTTCCTTCATACTACAGATCTGCCTTTTATTCATTTTGTATTCCTTGTACACCCCCACAGTACCTGGCTCAAAGCAGCTGATCAGTAGGTACTTGTTAAATAGTACTGAACTGAATAGTTATATGACTTAAGTTTTCAAGCTCCTTTCTTCCCATAGGAATATTGCGGATAGTCACAACCTTACATTTTAGGAAGTGAGGAAATCCACAAAAAAATATGCTTATCCTACTCTTTGAATTTTTACCATATTCCCTTTAATAATATATATATATTAAAAACCTGTGTGATGGGATTGGTTAAAATGAATAACATGCTCTTAAAGGCAAAATACTATTTGATATACTCTGGTAGTAGTAGCTGTTACTGCTATTCTTACCTGAAGTTCTTCTCCAAATTTATCTTCTCTCTTGAGCTTTGAAGCTTTTCTTGGGTGGAATTCAGGGAGAGCTGGATGGGTAATATATTCAAATATTGGATCTCAGCCCTATTCTCCTTAGGTCCTTACTTCCAGTCCTTGTTCTCACTCCAGACACACCTCAGACAGAGGAGAAACTTCACAGGGCAGTGCTACATGCCCTGCGCAAAACTACCTACCATTGGCAAAAACTGAGGTAAGGGGGCTAGAAAGGGAGTAAAAGAAAAGTTAGACTTGAGAGAGAGTTAGGGGGATATAATTACATAATCAATTTAGTGTTTGAAAAAGCTACCTGGATTTTAAGGCTCCCCCAGGACCCTTCTGTAATGGGGAATCAAAGACAGAGCCCTGAGCCAGGCTCGGTGGCTCAGCCTGTAATCCCGCGCCTTTGGGAGGCTGAGGTGGATTGCCTGAGTGGATTGCCTGAGCCCGCGGGTTCGACACCCGCCTGGGCAGGTGAGACCTCATCTCTACAATGAATCAAAAAATCAGCCGGGCGTGGTAGCACATGCCTGTAATTCTGGCTACTTGGAAGGCTGAGG